ATGATGCATAATCATAATATAAAACGTTTATATATAACATATCATTATCGTACATATAATGAATTTTATGAATTTTTTGAACGTTTAAACAAACAATTTCCATTAATTGGTTTAGATTTAAAATTTTCTCGACAAACTGAAGATAAAATTGTTGCACAAAGACATGTTAGTGATATAAATGATTTTCTTGAAAATTTATTTCGTTCAACAAATGAAGTCGTTGAAGTAGGTTATAAGACAATAACAAAAAATAAAACAAAAATAGTTGAATTTTTGTGAATAATCACAAAATAACTTCAAAATGAACTCATTGAACATATTTTCATTATTTTTTTTTGTTTTTAGTCTGATCTTGTTATTACATTCTTTCATATGATTCAACAAGATCAACAAATCAATGATTCGAAAGAAAAACCTAATGATGGTAAATGAGTAACATCACAAAATATTCTTTTATTTTTTGTTTTGCTTCTATTTTGAAGATTTTTCATCACGTTTAGCTCATGATTCATCATCAAATAATCGACCAAAAATTCGTATACAATTAAAATATGATAATGGAAAATTGTTTGTTATGGTTCGATATGCAAATAATTTGGTAAGAAGAACAAAAAAAAAAGAGAATTAAATTTGTGTTTAAAATTTCATATGATTTATTTATTTAGCCATTAATCAATGGCAACGATCCAAATCCATATTGTAAATGTTATTTATTTCCTGATGCATCTAAATCAACAAAAAGAAAAGGAAAAACTATTATGAATTCACGAAATCCAATATTTAATGATACAGTATAAATTTAATTTTCTTTTTAATTTGTAGAAAAATCTGAAGTTTTTTCTTTGTTTTTAGTTTACATATGAAATGGATTTATCCGAAATTCAAAAGTGAGATTTTATTAACAGATAATCGGAAAGTTTTTAGACAAGACATTTGTTCACTTTTGACTCGCTAGAAAATATTTCCGACGAAACAAAAGCTATGGCTTAGGATGCTCGTTGCGTGTGGAGTTTCAAAAAGAATATAAGGAAGTAAAAATTATGATCAAACTCACAAAGAAAGACTGCAGAAAACCAACAAACTAGTTTCATAGCATCTAGAACGGATAAATATGATTTTGTTTAGCCTAGATAGAGCAGACAATTTCCTACAAAATGAGACATCACCGAGTTCTCTGCAATGTATTTTAGCTGAGATATAGCAATCTTATGGAAGTCGTTAAAGTCGTTTTTTTCCAATTTCCTATAGAAAAATCATCTTTTAACCTTCAATCAAATTGCTGTATCTTAGCCAAAAAACGTTGCAAAGAATTCGACGATGTCTCATTTCGTAGAGAATGATTTACTCTATTGTTCTATGTAGTCTAAACAAAATTATATTTACGCGTTCTAGATGTTGAAAAACTACGATTTAGGTTTTTCGGAGTTCCTATCTTTGTGAATATAATTTTTATTTCCATATATTCTTGTTGAAAACCATTCTGTCTATTCGAATTACTATTTGAATTCTCTCTAACGCTTACGATAGCGGAAAAAAATTGGAAATAAACCTTGTTGAATAATTTTGGCATTCACTATGTATCAACTTATGGATCAGAAGCTATTCTACAAAATGCACTAATTGAAGTTTTTTCTCTGCCTGTCGACAAAGCACCTCAATTTTTGTTTTTCTTAAATAGTAATTTTTGAAAAATCGACAACTGTTTTATGTTGAAAGGAACTCTTGAAGAAAAGCTACAACTTAGTTCAATATCATATGTTGTAGAAAAGTGTTTGCTCTACACAATAACCGACTTCGACAATTTTTAGCATGTTCGAAAAAGAACTTATTAGGATAAACAAAAGGTTATTGATTCATCATTTTCAAGTCTTTCAAAAAATCTCTTACTATTCTTGAATAAAAATAGACACAATATTTCTAAGCTCATATTGAAATTCTGGTCGCGATCTATACTGAAATACTTTCGAACAGATCAAAATGAACCAACATATTCATTGGAAACATTAATCAACAAGTTTTCTTCAAACTCATTTTTTAAGACTTATCAAAGATTATTTCACTATTCTCGAACAAAAACTTAGACAAAATTTCTAAGTCGATAATCGACAAGAGCATTTGAACTCATAGTTTTTGACTCGTCGAAAATACTTTCTCATGGGTCAAATGTAAACAAACATCTCGTCTAAAAAACTTTCCAATCATCCGTTAATAATAGATAAAGACAAAAAAATTATTCCCGTTTTTTCTATTTTAGACGTCTTATTCGTGTCAGTGTATGGAATAATGTATTAGCTGTTGGTAATCATGTATTGGGTGAAGTTGATATTGTACTATCTAAAATCGATTGGTCAAAAGAAAATGCTCGTGATTATACATTTTTCTCAATCGATTCATAAGAACTTCATAAAAAAACAAACAAAAACCAAAGTTGTATTTCTATGATGCTTGTTTTATTTGAAATTCAAACCGGTTAATAGAATGAAAAATAATTTGACAATTTTCAAACTAATCTTTTTCCTTTTTTTTTTCTTTGCCATTTCCAATGTATGTGTATAAATATATATTAAAGTTGTAAATTCTTTCTTTTCTTTATTTTTTCTCTTTTTAGTCAGCTCTTTTTCTTTCTTTCCAATTAATGTGATTATATAGAAAACAACAATAAAAGAAAATTGTGAATTAAAACAAATCAAATCTTCAAGAAAATAGAAAGACAATTTTTATTTTAGATATTTCATGTCTATTAATCGATATACACGAACGGCAACTGATGTACTCAGTTTACGTTTTAATCAAGATTCAAGTAGAAATTAATTGATTGAAATTTATTAATTTAGTCATTGTTTTGTATTATTCTTCTATAGCTTGTTTCATTTGTGCTACAGGTGATGGTATTCGAATATTTAATGTTGAGCCATTTGCACAAAAAAGTTTTCTTGGTAAAAAGAAAAAAAAGAAGAATATTTGTTTTAGTAAATGTTAATAATCATTTTATTTAGATGTTGGACGTGCTACATATGCAGAAATGCTTTATCGTACAAATTTAATAGCATATGTACCGGCTGATCATGTTACTGGTTTACCATCGAATGTTGGTATGAGAAAATTCGGGTTTTTTTTCTTGTCTCGATTGTTTTATTTAAATGAATGTTTTAGTGAATGTATATGATGATGAACGAAAAGCACATGTACTTGAACTTTGTTTTAGTTTACCAGTAGTTTCTATACGAATGTCAAGAACAAGGTTTGATAATATAATCGATTTTTTTTTTCTCGTAATTTTCTTAAATATAAAATTTTTGTTATAGACTTATTGTTGTACTTGTACGCAAAATTCATATTTTCTCTTTTCCTAATCAATGCCGACTTTTACATACGGTTGATACAAGAGATAATTCAAGAGGTTAATTAATAATATTATTGACCTAGAGATTTTTTTTAGTTTTTTTTTTGTAGGACTTTGTGAATTATCAAATAATGATGGATCATTACTTGTTTTTCCTTTCAATGCAAATACTAGAGGTGGTTTTGTTCAATTTTTAGTAAGTAAAATTCTCAATTGAACTAATAAATATTAGTTGTTAAAAAAATGAATACAAATTTCTTTAAGTATTCGATTCAGAGTGAAAAACTCTACTACAGACTACGGTCAACACTTGATGATAGAATTAAATAACAGACTACTGACATTATTTGTTTGTTTTAAGATTCATTAGAAGAAATCTTCGTTCTCAATTGAAAATTTTCGTACATTAAAAAAACCATGTAACTTTCATATAAGCAAATATCAACAGCCGATGTTTTATATTTTAATTACAAGATATATTCACATTAACATATTCATCACTAAAGAATACAAATCTATAAGAATGAATCATTCTAGAACTTTTCTTAATCTCACTAGATTATAATTCTTATTTTGAAGTATTTTATCGTCTCATAAAGATTATCGAGAACATTTTAATACTCCATTATAATCTTCATCTTTATTCCGAATTGACTCTTATAGAAAATGATTCCTATCATTGATTTAATTTCTTCAAAACAAAATAAAATCTTATTTGAAGTTGATTGACATAAGTATACATTGTATCATAGCTTTTAATATCAACGTGCTTAAGTGTCATATGGCACATACTTTCTAATGCTAATATTCATTTTAAAATAGAAGAAGAAGAAGAAAAAAAAATAAGAACACAACAGTATAGGTGCAAAATTTTTCATTTTCTTATGATAATAATGATCGCATCAAATAACGTGTAGACTTTTCTGATTAGCTGAAGAATTTCAATTATTAGACGTCATTTATTTATAATAATCGTCTCGTCTTTCTGTCTTTATTCGAAATCAAATTCTTATAATAAAATACAGCAGGTAGCTGAGAGAGAACAAAAAAAAAGAAAAGAAAGAAACGGTAACCAGATGCGCAATGGATGAAACAACATAATTGGAAAAAAAAACGTTGATGATTATATGTTATTCGAAACGAAGAATAGATGATGATGTTCATTAGCGCATCTTTCCATTTATAGAGCAACAAAAAAGAAAACAAAAACTGAAATTTTAATCAATACATTCATGACTAGAAGAATAAAGAGAATAAATTAAGATTGATAATGTAGAAATGTTGAATTATTTTGTGTTGGTGTTGAATATGAAAAATTTGACGATGATGATGATGTACCACTATTAAATAAACCATGAGAATAAACTGAACCTGTAGCAAAATATGCTGCTTGATTTAATAATGATGTTTGAAGATCTTGACAATCTTGTCTATGAATTGAAAAATGAAACAAAAAGAAAAAAGAGAAATTAACATTTTTCAAAATTGGATAATGTTTTTGAGGACAAGTATCAATTAACTTACATTCGTGGTGTACGATCTCGTTGTCGACGATTTTTAAACCAATTACTAACTTGTGTTAATGTTAAACCAGTTTTTTTTGCTAATAAACGTTTTTCATCAGGTGTTGGATAACGATTTAATTTATAACATTCTTTTAATGCTTGACGAGATTTTTCTTTAAAACAGTAAATTGTTTCTTCACCATCCCATATAGATTTTGGTAATGGATATTTTCGTCTTATACGATATTTATCAACAGCACCTAATGGACGACCACGTATTTTTTGTGCTTCCATATAATGTCCTTTATACCATAATTGTTGTAATTCTGTATGATAATATATATCAAATGTATGTGTTTCTAATAAACAATATAATTCACGAAATTTTGATTGATAATAAAGTATAATAGCACGTGCTTTTAAAACACTATCATGTTGATGTATTAATGCTGCATTTGGTGATGAAGATTTTTGTGGTAATAATTGTAAAAGTTTAATTAATTTATCAATTTTACCACTTTGTTGTATAGCTTCACATACACAAGCTAATTGATCAATTGTTAATATTAATGCTTGTTCTGTATTATTTGAAGATAATTGAAGAACAATTGGTATATGAGAAAGAGAATTATTTGTTGTTGTTGTTGTTGGTGGTGGTGGTGGTGGAGGTGGTGGAGGTAGCAGTAAAGTTTTTGATGGTGGTGGTAATGGCGGTGTTAGACTAGAATTTGATGAATCATCATGTTCAATTTTTGTTGATAAATTTGGTGGTGATCTATAATGATTTGGATAATAAGACGGATATGTATTTGATGTTGTTGGTAAAAATGTTGAAAATGTATTATAATCATATGATGAATGATGATATGAAGTTGTTTGCATAATAGTAGAATTTATTGTAGTAGTCGTTAATTTCGTCCACACATAGAAAATCTTGCCTTTCACGACGTATTCGAGTAATATGATCAAATGTGTATTTCGTACTTTCTCTTAATGCTAGAGATGTGAAGAGCAAAAAGAAGAAAAGAAAAAGATGATTGGTTAAAAAAGCTTATTGGTGGAAGAAAAGTTTGTTTTTTTTTCTTCGGTGTATGATGTTTGAGAAATGGTCAAGCGTTTTCTAATTCTTGGATACATAAGAGAGAGAGAGAGATCAAAGGAACGTTTGAATGGAAAAAGAGAAGAGATGTATTGTTCAAATAAAAAAAAAAATCTGCAATTTTCCACTTGGAAGAGACTGTTTAGTTGAGAAAAAAAAAAAATTTCAAAGTTTAATGATTATGATCAATTATGAAATTCGAGTAGACACACGCGTCTCTATGGTCAATGAAATTAATGTTCGAAATGATTAGAAATATAGTCATAGTGGAAAACTGTTTTTTTTTGCAAGACATCAAAGATGAAATTTTTTTTTCTGGTTTCTTTTTAATTGAAAAATTTCGAACGAAACGATTATTATGAACTATGATATATCATTAAATTCATTAGAAGAAAAAAGTCTAACAAGAAAATCTCCGTAGGTGGTAAAAAGCTTTTGAGTTTAAAACAAGTAGAGAATATGTATACTAGAAAAAGTTGAAAAAGATATTGGGGTAAATTAGAATTTTGTTGAGATATCAACATTTTTTATTATAATATTCGTGCAGCACCTTATTTTTCTTGTAAAATAAAAGTTTTGAATTTTGGCTTGAAACTTTGTCAACATTAAAGCTTCAAACTTTCGAGTTTGTTGAGGAAAGTTAAGGATATATTTAGCA